TTTCCCTGTTTTGTTCAAACAATACAGATAATATGTAGTAACATTACTGGAAAAGTCACTATTTACATGTTAGGTGTGGGAAGAATAAAAAACCAAGGCAAAACTGTAATGTCTACATCAAAACACTGTATTTTTTTAAAATGGAAATTTTTTGTTTTGTGACATTTGGCTATAAAATTACACTTTTTTTTTTACTCTATTTAAATCAGCTACAAAATATAATTAATTTATAGTTAGTATTATTATTGTTATTATTATTACAGTGAACATTTAAACATTATAATATTACAGCATTTTTCAACATATTTTTTCTGACCTGCTTGCTGCCAGACGTTCTGTTTTGTTGTGCCCCTACATGCATACATCCACATATAATAAATGCAGTAAGTCAAAAATACCAGGATGTCCCATTACCTCTGGTCTCATTCTGCGGTTTGTGAGCCGGCGTGTTTTTCTGGCCGTTCTGACCTATAATCCTCCACACAGCAGAAGATCCATCACATATGTCACAGCGTCTCGCTCGAGTAACAAGCTTCAGCTGCAGAGCAAACACAAACAGGTGGTTTCACGCTGCAGACTGTGACAAAAATACGTGTGTTGGTCAAAAAATTAAGAGACTGTGCCTATAAAATACACATAGATACGTGCAAAAGACCTGAACTGATGTCATGTTGCAGCCTTAATCATCTCTCGGCCCTCGATGCCCAAATGTGTATTGCAAGATACAGTTTTCAGCTTAGAGATCACATTGACCTTCTATTCAACAGCTGGACACTAGATTATGGGATACAATGGGCAAAAACTGACACATCTTAATCCCGCTACCTGAAATTTGCAGATAATTTTCTCTTATTTACCCAATTTTTTATGAATCAAAACAAGCCTGCAAGTCATCTATGCGCCAAACGTTTTCAAAACAGGACTTGCACAATAGTCACATCGCAGAAAATTCAAATTACCTCAAACACAACACGTTACAACTCCAAGAAAACTCACAAAGTTCTCATTTTCCGGGACTAATCTACAAGTCGTCACGTTAAATCCTCAAATGTTTTTTTTAAACTTTATTCGCAAACCTCTGAGTTTCTTGACAAGCAGATTCTTCACATGCACAGCAAAAACAAACAGACAAGAGCCGACAGAGCTCTCTGAATTTTTGTCCCTCAGCTGTTTGTCACAGCTGAGTCACCAATGGCTTCACGGTTGCGCAGAGAAGCACAGAATTTTTAGTTTTTTTCAGAATCCTCTCAGAGCAAATTGTTTGTTTTTGGCCATTTTTTAAATGAGACTTGAAATATAATATGCAAAAATATATTTTGATCTTAGATTTGGGGTTTTGATGAGAAATTACACGTCACACAGTCGGAAAATCTGACGAGTCTTTAGGTTTTCACAGTTTTTGGGTGTCATGTGGGTGATTGTTATTTATTTATTTTATTTTATTGTTGCTTTTCTAATCTAAAGAGGTGTAATTTACAAAGAAAATTCATGTGGAAATCAAGGCTTCATGCACTCATTGAAGGACAATTTGACAAACAGAATGAATCCACCCCTGACTCATCGAGCATCGAGACCCTCTAATCCATGAGTCCAGCTTTGGTGTTCAGATCCTGGAGGGAGTCGACCGTTCCTCCCGTCAGCTCTGACACATGACTCCCAGCGGAGCCCCAGTTGTTGCTGGAGGAGCCGACTGATGGATCTGTTAGCGGCCTCCATTTTTTTTTTTTTTTGTACCTCCCCAGCTGACTGTGTTGTCATCAACCCAACAGAGGACGAGCTGGTCGGAAGAACCGGTCATTGTGTCAGAGGTCGCCCTCTAGTGGGCACATCACACCCCAAAACCCCTCCAACCACAACCCCCTCCCCCCAGACCGAGTCATTCCCAAAGCAGACGTTCCTGCAGTTGGCCCAGAAGAAGTAAATGTGATTGATATGTACAAGCAGCTGTCTGTTTTTTTAACCATATTTTTACAGTGTTACCTTCATAAGTCAGTTTAAAGTATCTCTTCATAACTTGTTACGGTACTCGACAGTAAATAAGATGTTTACTGTTTCATACTGTAACTACATTTTTCAATAATATACTCTGTTTACATGGTGGTGTCTCTGGAACCAGCCCCAACTAACTGTAACTGTAGTTTTGTGTCATTTTGTCAATATTTTTTTTTAATCATTTTGTGGCTCATTTGTGTCGTTAATGACTCGTTTTTCTTTTGTGTCTCATTAACATCACGTTGTGCCTCATTTGTGAGATTTTATGTCTCGTTTTTCTTTTGGTTTGTTTTGTTTTTTGTACTTTTTCTTTCGTTTTGTGTCTCATTTGTGTCATTTTATGTCTCGTTTGCATCACTTTGTATCTCATTTGTGTGATTTGTGTCACTTTTTTTTGTGTCTCATTTATGATGTTTTGTTTGTTTGTGTCACTTTCTATCGTTTATCTCGTCTAGTTTGTCTCATTTGTGTCGCTTTGTGTTGTTCTGTTTGTGTCTTTGTGTTAGTTTTGTCTCACATTTTTGTTGTTTGCGTGTCTTTTTTTGCAATTTTGCGTCTAATTTTTTATCTGTGCCTCATTTCTGACCTTTCGTTTGTGTCTCTCTTTGTTGTTTTGTGTCTCATTTGTGCCGTTTTGTGTCTCGTTTCTCTTGTTTTGTTCTCTATTTGTCTCGCTTTTGATGTTTTGTGCCTCATTTGCGTGATTTCATGTCTCATTTTTCTTTTTTGTTGTTTTGTCAACTTTTTTTTGTCATTTTGTGTCTCGTTTGCATCATTTTGTGTCGTTTATGTCTCATTTTTCCTTTGATAATGTTTGTTTGTGTGTCTTTAACAGTTTCGTCTCCTCTGTGTTTCATGTCCTGGTTTTGTTCTTTTAGTTGTGTCTCATTTTTGTCAGGTTTGGTCTTATTTGTGTTGTTTGATGTCTTGTTTTTTTGCATCTTGTTTGCTTCATGTTGTGTCTTTTTTGTCGTTTTATATTTCATTGTTCATGTGTCTCATTCATGATGTTTTGTTTGTGTCCCTTTGTGTCCCTTTGTGTCTCGTTTGTGTTGTTCTTTGTGTCTTTCTGTTAGTTTTCCCTCCTTTTTTTGCCGTTTTATCTCATATTTTTGTTGTTTGCGTCTCTTTTTTGTCGTTTTGCGTCTTGTTTTTATCCGTGTCTCATTTCTGACCTTTTGTTTGAGTCCCTTTTTGTTGTTTTGTGTCAAATTTTTGTCTTGTTTGTGTCATTTTGTGTCTCATTTTTCTTTTACAACTTGTTTCATCTTGTCAAATATTCACCACCTTGTGTCTTGATTGTGTTATTTCGTCTTGTCTACCTCTTTTTATTGCAGTTTCGTCTCCTCTCTGTCATTTTGTGTCTCATTTTTCTCGTGTTTGTGTTGTTTGGTGACAAATTTTTTGTTTTTGGCTCAAAAAAACCCAAAAATCAGCCATCAGATTTGACAGTATTTATCTGTATTTTGGACAAACGGAACCCTCCAGTCAGAGCTTGGCTGTGTTGTTACAGTCATTTACCACAGTGTAGTTGGTGCGTTGGGGGATTTGGAGCTGTAACTGTTCAACAGATACTTCAAAGGCTCAAGTCATCAAGCGCCAGTTGCTTCAAAGCCCAGATCGATGCGATTCATGTCCTCGATTCTCTGCTTCCACACTGGACCGCTGACTCCCCCCCTCCTCTCATATCCATATTAATCCCTCGTCTGATACCCCCTTTTTCCAGGAGATAGACAAAGAGGGGCTGGGAAGAATGAGATCAGGACAGAAGCAAAGAGAAGAGAGAGAGATCAAGGGGAGGGGGGTTTCCCTGGGCACTGCCCCGCTCGCCTCTCACGTCAGCTGGGGCACTGAATGGCTGACGGCTGCATACCGAGCCTCCTTCTGGGTCTCGCTGCGTTCGCGTCCCTGTTTCAGCCCCGGCCGGTGGCTAAATATATTTCCCCAGTTTGCAAATGTAGCACAAGTCCTGCAACCCGACCCCCCGTGGCCGGCTCCGGCTCCCTTCCTCTGCGCAGGGTTCACGTTCCTCCGGGTTGTGGAGGTGGTGGGTGGTGGGTGGAGGGGGAGGGCGTGAGGAGGGGTTGGAGGTTAAGAGAGCTGCTCTGCTGGTTCCACGCACTCTCTTCTGGCATCACACACACACACACACATACACACACACACATATACACTCATGCACTTGTTGAGCTAGCAGCCACACACTCACACACATACACATCACGGTGTCTGTGGATTGCGGCCCCCTGGTTTGCCGTGGTGTGGTGGCAAACGAGGTATGGAGAGGACCGAGAGGATTCAAAGGCCCGTCATGGTAAGAATCCGGACAAATCCACTCTGTGTGCACTTTTTCTTGCTTGTTGTGCAAAGCGTGGAGTTTTTTTGGAAGCTTTGAGACATACGACGGGAAAAGTAGGACTTGTCCCTGATAGCGTCGCACCTCCTGGCTCGCTCCCCCTCTTGATGATTCCATTTTGGGCCGGGCCGCAGCTGCTGGAAAGGCGCTGGGTTTTTAATTAGACCTCCAGTCCTGCCGCCTCGCCTCTGCTGCTATGTGCACCGCCTGCCCAGAGCTGTGGCCATTTCAGGGGGCTTCTGTCACCGCCGTCCCCCCTCCTCTGCCCAGGTCGGGCCCGGGCTGGATTGTTGGCTCCGAGACGCTGGGAGTCCAGAATACGGATCTAATCTGTTTGAAGATTTTAGATGTTGGTCGAGCTTCTGTTGGTGTCTTTTTTTGCAGTGCTAACAGTTATCCTCACTATCTGTTCATCTGTTTGTAGTCTTTCAATTAACTGACACATTTCTTGAGCTTTGAAATACCAGAAAATCATGAAAAATCTAAAAAGATACTGAAACTGTGATATGAAACTCCACATCTGAGAAGTTAGAATCAATCAGCTGCTGCCATTTTAGTTTGCTTTAAAGGCTTAAATAATCAAGGGTTGAATAACCAGAAATGAGTTGAAAACATTTGTATTTTAAACAACATTGCATTCAAACACAAAGTGGTGCATCTGATATGAAACACAACACAGTTTACTGCAGTCAGTTTCATTACTTTTAGGTTCATTTTTCAAATTTTATATGTGAATTTGAAGGTTTTATGTAATAATTTTTTACTTTTCATAGAAACCGTGTTAATCTGCGTGTGTGAACATATAACACTGTCAGGCTTTAACATTAATATTTAAAGTAGTCAGCTGTGTTTTAAATAGATAGTCGGGCAAACCTCTCGTGTAAACTAGTCCAGTAAATGTGTATGATAAATAATACTGCAGTGTCTTAATAATTACATTGATGGGTAAACTAGTCGTGTAAAATAGTTGTGTTAATGTACATAATAAATATTAGTCTCTTCATGTGAATATTGAAATTATACAAGATAAATAACTGAAGTAAAATAGTTCGGTAAATTATATAACATTTAATATTATAGGTTGTTAACAATATTTTTGATTGAGTCACTATTCAAGTAAAACTATATGGTACACGATAATAAAAAAATATCGCGATATTTAGATAATATTGTAGAGTCTTAATGTTAACATTAAAATTAGTCAGGTAAGCTACTCAGTTGAATGAGGTGCATTTATATAATTAATAATATTGTAAGATCTAGTTAGATATACCAACCAGGTCAATGCATGTTTTAAACATAATTGTAATGTCTTAAGATTGACAATTAAATTAGTCTGTTAATTGTATATAATGTATGATATTGTGGGGTATTAACTGTGATGTTGCAGGTAAAGTAGTCAGGTAAATTTATATAATGAATAAAAGATATTATTGACCTTCATATTTAAATTATTCAGGTAAACTACTCAGGTAAATGTATATAATGAATAATACTGTAGGGTCTTGCAATTAATATTTAAATGGAGAATAATCAATTTTTGTTTCATATGTTTTTAAATGTGCTTAAGTTGACCTAAAAATGACGACATGAAAAGGAAAAAAACAAAATTTTGTCACCAAAATGTATGTATTGGCCTTAATTAGATGCTGAGAGGTTACCGTATGTTCAAATAGTGCAACATCTCATGTAAATATAATGTGATTTAAACCACACGTACAGTAAACTCATTGGGAGGATTTAATAAAGAAAGCTGCTCATGATATTGGATTCCCTCGTTTGCTTGCCTGTGAAAACGGGACTTTCCGGTGTGTTCGCTCCCATGACTCATCTTTCTGGTCATCTCCATGCTGGTTGCCATGACGCCGCGGTGACAGAGGAGAGGAATATGGCCATTTACAGCCACCGGCCTCCAGCTTCAGACGGGAAATCTGTCGTCTGCCTGTGAATCCCCGGTTTGCACATGTCTGTCCCGACAGACGCACGTTGTGTTTCTTCACCTTTCGTTCCAGCTTCACCTGAGTTAATCTCCCTCTACGTGTGATATGAATACTCAGCGGAGGCTCGGCTGTATTCCGGTCGGCTCTCCGCTGTCTGAGACGCTGTGTTCTTCTTGTTCTCTTGTTTAAAGCGATGATGGCTGGTGCCCCGAGGAGACTCTGAGATAAAGCAAATAGAAAAAGGATATTTAATGTTCTCACTTTGCCTTCAGTTTGTGATTCTCACATCATCTGGGCTGATAAGATATTTTTTATCTGTTTAATTATCAGGGCAGGGGTTCTCAGTGACTGTTGGCTCTCTGATGGTAATCACTTCTTAGTCACGCTTTCTGAAGTCTGGAAACACCTGCTGCCATGCTGCTGTTGTTGGTGGCAACAACAGATTAAAGTCTTTGACCTCTGCCCTCTGATTTGCAGCTGTGGCATTCAAGAACTGTAGAAACACTGAAAATGGCAGTAAAATAGAGTCAACCTGTGTAATTTTACAGTCACATATCATAAAAGAACAGATTAGTATTTGGAAAAAAAAATTCTGATTCAGCGTGTTCATTAAATGTCAATTCATATTTTTAATGCGCTTTTACTAGATATTATGTAGAATTTAACAAAACAGGAAAATTCTGTAAAGAACAGCTTCAAAAAATGAATTCCCATTTTTTCAATGCTACATATACACAAGTTTGCTTTCAAACAATATCAAGTATTTATAAAATGATGATGATTGTGCCGATTTAAATACAGTACGAAAAAAAATAGAGTAAATTTACAGTCAGGCAACGATTTAAAAATATATTTTCCATTTGTAAAAATGCAGATTTCTAATGTGGATATTCACAGTTTGGGCCTATTTTTTGTTTTGTTTTTTGCAATTCAGATGTAAATTATTACTTTTTTCTGTTGTTTAAATTTATTTTATTTTTTTTAATGACCAAAGAATAGTTAAGATTTTTTAAAACCTTAATATACATACTTTTTTCTGTCAAATACCAGCAAATAATTGTAAAATAATACGCTTTTTTTACTTATTTATATACAGTTTTTTTAATAATAAAAAAAAAAAAACAAGTAATTTTATGGTAAAAAATTAAAAAAGAACAAATTACTATTTGAAAAAATCCAAATTTCCCTGAATATTTACAGTTTGGGTCTATTTTATTTTACCGTTAACATGTACATGTGCAGTTATTTGTGATTTTTGTATCAGTAATTTAATAAAACGGAAAAATCTATAAAATAAAAACAGTGAACGGTTCAGAAAAGTACAGCTAATTACGATTTAAGGAGCAATTGTGTATATTTTACAGTGTAACACGAGGAGGACTCTGTGGTGCTGCTTTGCTGTGTTTTCTAAAGATGTTAACATAACTATGAAACTGATGCCAAATCAGTGTTTTCTGCAGAACGAATCTGCTTCCTACACTCAGATTCGCCCTTTTGTCCCCAGTTTTATTCCTTGATTGCGTCACCGCCTCTGAAGAAACAACGTTAAGTCATTTCCCTGCTGCAGGGCGACTCTTTTCAACCCTCATTATTCAAAGCACTTGTCTTTTGCCATCCCGCCCTCGCTCCTTATTCCATTACCCCCCCACCACCTCCGTTCTGTTGCTCTCTTTCTCCCCCCCCTCCGCTCCATTTATTCAATATCAGTGGTAAGGAGGTGTAAATTCATCACGGTGGCAGCCACTGTGCAGAGACTGGAGCAGAAACAGTCGGTTCATTTGGAGGATAATTGCAGACGCTCACCTCCTGCACCTTCTTCTTCTCTCCGCTCCGTCTGTGGTGCGAAAGTGCAGCGTAGTTTGTACCAATTAGACGCAGGAAAGTTTCGGTTTGGGCGTCTTGTTAGTAAAAACACTGGTGTTTCACTTTACAAAAGGCCCGAATGTCTCCCAGCCGTAACTCAGACAACAAACACCTCGTCGATCACCTGTTGAAAAGCTTTTATGCTGCTTATTTCCCCCCCCTCAGGGCGTTTTATTTGCTATCGATTCCTGTATATCTTCCTCCTGTCTCCTCGCTCATGCAGCTCTCAGCCTGTCATAAGGTTGCAGAGATGGTTACTATGACACTGCATTCGGCCAATAGGAGGGCGGCTCTGCGGTCAGGTGGCCTGTAGCTATTTTGAACAGGAGCTGTATGTGAAGTGAAGCAAGCAGCTAAATTAGAGGCGCAACCCTTTGACATGAGAGGAGAGGAAGAACGAGCGGCAGCAGCGGCGGGAGGAGGAGGGAAGGTGGAGGAAGTTTGGTCATTCATTTGTCTGTCGGTGAATTCATGACGGGTTTCAGGGAAGGAAGAGAGGTGACTGAGTTCACTGTAAAACTAAATGATGCAGGGAAACTGTGAACATCTGGAAGAGAAAGTACATTAAATATGGTGGAATACTAGAACATTGAAAATAGTGAAAATAAAGTCAAATATCTGTTAAATAATTACTTTTTTAAAGCAGATTTAAATCCAGTGAGACAATAGTTTTATGGTCACACAATATGTAAGAACAAATCACTATTTGTAAAACTACAGAGTTCACATGAGTTCTCTTTAACAGTCAGTGTGTACATTTGTACTTTCTGTCTCTGAATTTATTGGATGTATCTGCAGTTTTATTTAAACAGAAGAAAACCTGTGAAATAACAATTTTAAAACTATTTATAATTTTTTTTAAATCCTCAAAAGACTTATTTTTATTTTTAAATAACTGCAATTATCTGTTCAAATAAGATATATAATATTTAACAATTTTGCTAATGTAAATACAGGAAAGTAATCATTTTATTTTCTTTTACAGAATTTATTTTTTTCTCAGACTTCATTAGATATCTGCAATTTGACAAAACAAGGAAAATCTAATAAAAATTGATATAATTTTTTTCTTTAAAATAATGAAAAATTTATATAAAACTAAAATAAAATACAGTGAAAAATAATTTTACTGTCAAATATTGTTAAACAACAAAG